AGAAGAAAACAAACAAAATCACAGCAAAATAAAAGAAAACCCCATATATTTCAGAAATAGACCCCACAACATCTTGAGTAAAAGGGATCAGTCAGAGTTCACTGGGCCATGAGACCTACAGCAGTGGAGGTCAGTGGCATTCCTCATGTTATTTCTGGAATCAGAACAGTAAAAGCCCTTCAGCCCTCAGTCCCTACACATTCATGGCTTCTGGAGGTGCCACCCAGGATGACTAGCTGGGAATGGAGAAGCCAGAAAGCTTGTGGGGAAGATTTTGCTTCTGAAAAAGTCCAGACAGAAAAGGTGTCACAGAACTGACATAGCAGAGGCCAGGCCAGGAGAGGGCGATGGAGGGAAAGACTACAGTGTCCTGATACAGGCAGAGTGAAAATGACCCCAGCATTTACCTTTGTCTTCTCTGTGTTTTCAGTTGGGATGCAGCTGCTGTTCCTCACGGGAACCAAATGAGGTCCAGAATCTGCTAAGGGCCAGAGAAGGGAATGGGGCTAAATCTGGCTTGCATGTTCTGTGCAGAATAAGAAACCCTCCATGCCCTCTGCTGCCATCTCACTCTCTTTGCCACATTCAGGTCACTTACCAGAGGCACAGGGTTTATTGGCCAGATACCTCAGAGGACCCTGGAGCCCTCTGGGCCTCAGCCTTTAGGAACACACCATAGAGCCCTGGTCCAGTGGTTTTCTTAACTCTCAATAGGCTGTGGACAGGTCAGGTGCTAACCAGCTGGAAATGAGCTTTAAATCAGGGGTTCCCAGTACATATCAAAGGAAATCACCCATCATGTGAGCACAGACTCCAAATTAAAATAGAAACAGCCATGGATGGGAAGAACATCTATAGGCCCAGGACAGGAGCAGCACTGCTCCTTTTCTTCAAGCTATAGGGGCATTTAAAATTCTGTGGATTCCATAGTGAATCTAACTTCCATATCTCACAAAGCATTGCCAATATTTATGAACAGAAATGAACGTAAAGAGACTAACAGTCATGAGAAAAGGTAAGAGCTACAGAAATTAAATGGAGGCTGGGTGTGGTGGCTCACACTTATAATCCCAGCACTTTGGAAGGCTGAGGCAGGCAGATCACTTGAGGTCGAGAGTTAGAGACAAGCCTGGCCAACATGGTGAAACTCTGTCTCTACTAAAAACACAAAAAGGAAAAAAAAGTTGCCAGGCATGGTGGCAGGCACATGTAGTCCCAGCTACTTGGGAGGCTGAGGCAGGAGAATTGCTTGAACCTGGGAGGTGGCGGTTGCAGTGAGCAAAAATCACGCCACTGCACTTCAGCCTGGGTGACAAAGCAAGGGTTTCAAAAAGAAAAGAAAAGAAAGAAAGAAATTAACTGGAAAGTTTTAGGGTCATACTTCAAATGTTAGAGGAGTAACATTACATAGAAATTTAGCTTACTAAAGGAGTTATATAGTTCACCATAAACAATTTAAACAAGCAAAAAGAATGAAGAAAGTTCCAAAAGTGCAAATAAATACTTCTTTTCTTAAAGCAGATCTCATGACACTGCTTTATTGATCCATGAAGATATTGCCTGAAAATCTCTGCTCTCATCAGCACTTACAGCTCCCATTTTAAAATGCTATTGTTGTTACTTTTCTCAAGTGAAAGAAAAATAAAGCCTTCACAGTGACTCAAGGTGGGAAGGGGAGCTGGCCCATTTGCCTTGTAGGCCCATCTTCACAGTTAAATGTAACCAAGATGTCAGGATGGGGCAATGTCCACAGTCAGTGGAGGGGCCTGAGCTCCACCATTCACAGGGGACCAGCCAAGAGCCATTCAGCTAGGGCATCTGAGAGAAAGGGGGTCCTGCCACCCAATGGCACAACTGTTCTCTTCATAAGTGCTTGGAACTGTTTCCAGGAAACATGACAATTACCCCACCTGAGCCCTCACCCCTAAAAGGAGAAGCAGGGTGTGTGGATTGCACAGCAGAAATTAAGCAGTTGCCTTCACAGGAGCTCCTACCTCTCCAGAAAGGGTTCTCTAGGGCCAGGTGTTTCTGGGCTGGCTCCTCACTCATGTGGCTCTCTGGCCCTCTCTTCTTTTTCTTCATTTCTCATCTAGAAGACAGAGAAAGAATTGACTTGAAGAAGAATTAAAACACCACGTTCTTTACGAGACAATCAAAGCCTCATCGTAAAACAAAAACATCCTTAAAAATGACCATCACAACTGGGCGTGGTGGCTCACACCTGCAATCCCAGCACTTTGGGAAGCTGAGGTGGGTGAATTACCTGAGGTCAGGAGTTCAAGACCAGCCTAACCAACGAAACTCTGTCTCTACTAAAAATACAAAATTAGTCAGGCATAGTGGCACATGCTTTTAATTCCATCTGCTCGGGAGCCTGAGGCAGAGAATTGCTTGAACCTGGAAGGTGGAGGTTGCAGTGAGCTGAGATTGCACCACTGCACTCCAGCCTGAGTGACAGAGTGAGACTCCAGCTCAAAAAGAAAAAAAATCCATCACGATGACCTACCTGTGCTGCTTGTAGGCAGCCTTCCTCTCTGCCATCTCCCTATCCAAGGCTTGAGCACAGAGCTGAGGGGAGAAAAATACATCCATGTCCTGACCTGGCTGACTATGCCCAAAAGCAAGGAAGACAAACAAAACTTATCCAGTTGTCAAGTGGGTACTTACCCTTCTTGCAGAAGGGGCCATCTGAAAAAGCCACCATGCCCAGCCTGAAAGAACTTCTTTCAAGTTCTTTGTAGAATTTGATTTTTCTGGTTTTAACTCCCAGGTAACACCTGGGAGTTAAAATCAGAAGTGGTACATTAAAAAACATCCCCTACCTGGGTGTGGTGGCTCATGCTTGTAACCCCAGCACTTTGAGAGGCCGAGGTGGGTGGATCACTTGAGATTGGGAGTTTGAGACCATCCTGGCAAACATGGTGAAACCCCATCTCTACTAAAAATACAAAAATTAGGTGGGTGTGGTGGTGACTGCCTGTCATTCCAGCTGCTCGTGGGGTGCTGAGGCAGGAGAATCACTTAAACCCAGGAGGAAGAGGTTGCAGTGAGCCAAGATCACACCATTATATTCCAGTCTGGGTGACAGAGCCAGACTCTGTCAAAAAAAAAAAAAAAACAAAAAAACTTCCCCCAATTTATATTAATAATTCTCTGTTCAGTACTAAGTGGGGTAGAGACTGTTAAATGTGGCAGGGCATGGTGGCTCACACCTGTAATCCCAGCACTTTGGGAGGCCGAGGCAGGTGGATCACCTGAGTTCAGAGTTCAAGACCAGCCTGGCAAAAATGGTGAAAATCTGTCTCTACCAAAGATATAAAAATTAGCTGGGCATGGTGGTGCATGTCTGTAATTCCAGCTACTTGGGAGGCTGGGGCAGGAGACTCACTGGAATCTGGGAGGCAGAGGTTGCAGTGAGCTGAAATTGTGCCACTGCACTCCAGCCTGGGCCAGAGAGTGAGACTCTGTTTCAAAAAAAAAAAAAAGGAGAAACTGTTAAATGTGCCTAGATATCTTCATAACTCATCTATTTTCTGTTTTCTACATATCTTGAAAGGCAGTCCTGAATGGCGGGTAATTATCTGGGTTGTAAAAATAAAACATACTTCATCTTCCCTTAAATATAAAACAGCATTGTGGGATTATTGCTTTTTTCTTGGATCATCGTTGAGAAGGAGGGTCAGCCCCCAGACAACCACATTTTTACTGTCATGAGAGGCAAGAGAAAATATAGAGCTCAATTTATCCAATGGACAAAAAGGCTCAAATGCTGGCACAACTTAGCTGCCGAATTCCTGTCAAGTACAGACTTTGGGCATGCTGATCCCTCTCCACCTGCAACCGGAAACATGCACTTTGAGTGACATCATTCGAAATTACCCTGCCCAGACACACTTTTCATTGATTCTATGATGAACAGTTCCAACAGATTCTCTGGGGCTTTCTCTGCATCATGAGAGACAGTGCGGCTCTGCCCTTCACCTTCCTGCAGTTTGTTGCCTCTTCCCTATGATCTCAGAGGAACTTTGTCTCAGGCCAACTGTTTGTTACTTGGGCTGTTTCATTTCCCATAAAAATTCACTTAAGTTGATTTTTAAGTTGCCCCTATCTCCGTCTATCTCCCTCTCTCCTGAAAAGAGGGTGCTCTGTAAGCATTAACCATCTGACCCTTCTTGTAGTCTTATTTTTTGGCTGGCTCCCATGTTTATGCCTGTTCTGTGTTCTTCTTCTCTTGTTAAGCTGTCTGTTGTTAGTTCATTTTGGCAGTGAACCTTTAGAGAGGAAACTGAAAGCTTTCCTTTCAGCCATACAATAGAATTATAAAGCAGAGAAGTTTAGACAGAATTTCCTATTTAAGTGCCAAAACTTCATACTCCATTTCTGATAAAGAGCACAAAGGTTAAAAAAAAAAAAAAAAACTTATTTTTGACCCAGAGCTCTATTGACATTCTATCAAACAAACACCAACCTATTTAATTTTCATTATGTAAATGGCAGATATTTTTGTAATTCTTATGCTAATAAATCATTTCCCTGATGTTTTTGGTAAAACCTAATATTCATAATAAAGTCCAGAACCATGAATTATTTTAAATAATTTCTTATTTGTGATTACAAGTATACCTCTACAGGAAGTTAGTATACTCACACAAAAGCTAATTTTTCAGAGGAAAAGTCCAACTGTAGAAACTCACAGAAACACAATAGTGATAAGCATCCACAGAACACAAAGAAAGTCATGCCCAGGATACAAATAATCAGGTGGAAAACTGATCGCCTGGAATAATAACAGTTGAAATAATGAAAATGTCAATGACATTTACATTTCAGTAAAAAATAATAATCTTTAGAAACCATCAACCTCCTCCAAGAGGTAACCACACCCCTCAGATATTACCAGGGGATTCCACTACTTCAAAAAAGATTGGAAGTTACCAGTCTCATGTTTTTTGCATGGCTGGTAGTGTTTTTAGGCATTCTAAATGTAGAGTGTCTTTTTCTCTTGATGTAAAGCAGGGATATCCAATTTTTTTTGGCTTCCCTGGGCAATATTAAAAGAAGAAAACTTGTCTTAGGCCACACATAAAATGCATTAACACTAACAATAGGTGATGATCTAAAAAAAAAAAAAATCACAAAAAGGCCAGGCGCGGTGGCTCATGCCTGTAATCCCAGCACTTTGGGAAGCTGAGGCTAGCAGATCAGCTGAGATCAGGAGTTCCAGACCAGCTTGGCAAATATGGTGAAACCTCATCTCTACCAAAAATACAAAAATTAGTCAGGTGTGGTGGCAGGCGCCTGGAATCCTGCTCATGAGGCTGAGGCAGAAAAATTGCTTGAACAAGGGAGGCGGAGGTTGCAGTGAGCCGAGATTGGGCCCTTGCTCTCTAGCCTGGGAGACAAGAGGGAGACTTTGTCTCAAAAAAAAAAAATCACAAAAATTCTTTTTTTTTTTAGACAGTGTCCTGCTCAGTCACCCAGGCTAGAGTGCAGTGGCACAACCTCGGCTCACTGCAACCTCCGCCACCTGGGTTCAATCCATTCTCCTGTCTCAGCCTCCTGAGTAGCTGGTATTACAGGCACCTGCCACCATGCCTGGCTAATTTTTATGTTTTTAGTAGAGACAGAGTTTCACCATGTTGATCAGGCTGATCTGGAACTCCTGATCTCAAATGATCCACTGGCTTCAGCCTCCCAATTATAGGCATGAGACACCACACCTGGCCTGTCATTTCTTTATATTTGGATAACATAAGGACTTTAAGACCCTTTCTCCTTTGGGTCAATCAATGCTCTGCACCATACACATTTTACAAAACAAGGGACAATACAGTCCTCATTCACATCCTGGTCATGTCACTCCTAGTGACTCACGCATTGCAAACCTCCCAGCAGGTGCAGCCCTTTCCTCTCCATCTGATGGGCTTCTCAGCTCCCATCACACTGACTGGACACAGACTCCCTAGAGGCAGCCCCCAAGAGCAGAAGACACTGATGACACAGGGGTTCCTAAAAAGTCATCAAGCCAGATGACACAAAACTCAAATGACATTTCACTTGTTTTGGTTCATTTTGTTTGAGGCAAGAGGGATCCGACTGATCTTTTTTGGAATCTTTTGTAGAGAAGAGGTTTGGCTCTGATGTCCAGGCTAGTGTTAAACTCCTGAACTCAGGTGATCTGCCCACCTTAACCCCCCAAAGCACTGAAATTACAGGCCTGCACTGTGCAATTTGCCATGTAATGCAGCCCAATAACAAGGAAGAAACCCCACAGGTCCAGTCTCTATTCACATGGGTGGATTGATGGCTGGGAAACCCCAGCAGGAGGAGCCAAAAGAGCAGCCACTGCACTGCATGTCCTGGTCCTCTCCTGAGGTGGCCAGGACAGAGGTGGGAGTGGCTTAGGGCTGGAGGAGGGAAGGGGATGGGATGGGGTGGGATCTGAGTTGGGGAAGGGAGGGGAAGGTGGGGGGGATGTTGGGCACCTGGAGGAGGGGGAGGAGAAAGGGGTCTGGGAAAGGATCCGGTTCAAACTAAGTCTTTAAGGGCGAATGGGAGGTTCAGCTACAAGTCAGGGAGAAAGTCTATCAGGGAAGCAACAGGACATGCAGGGCAAGAAAGCGGGAGGCTCAGGAGCAATTAGACGGAGACCAGGCACTGGTTTTCACTAACCCTTCTCCTGTCTGGGTGCTGCCTAAGCAACTCTGGGGCTTTATACTCCCTCTTCACCAATCCCCGGCCCCTGAACATGGTGCCTCACAGTGGACATTCCACGGAGCACATGCGTCCTCCAATGCCTCTCCCCCATCTCAGTCCCCCATGCACCTCCCAAGGACAGGTCCTCTCTGGAAACTTCACAGAACTGATTTCTGGTCTTCCCCACCAGCTCCCTGTCCCTGCTTCTGGGTGGTTCCTTCATGAGCTCCCAGTGTTTCTCATGGTCAGTCTTGGCTGCAAAACATAAGAAACAAATGATGGCAGACGGCAGGAAGAACCTCACACACAAGCACAGTGGGAGGCTCCACAGCCCCTCTCAGCCATTCATATTCTAAGCAACAAAACATCAGAAGGATGCAGAAGGTCCCAATAGTAAACTATCTCCATCACATCCATGGAGCCATCCATCCATCATTCAGTATCCTGGGAACAAATGTTGGAGCTACCTTGATTTTAAGCATGAATGGTACATTTACAAAAATTAACCTTATTTTGTTCATCAAGCAAATCTCAGTATAGTTCAGACAAATCCAATCACACAGCAGGTTTTTGATAACAGAATTGTGCTAGAAGTTAATGATTAAAAGCTAACCCAAAATTACTATATGCTTGGAAATCCAAAGTGCCCTTATAAGATATCAACAGAAGAAAGAATCCAAAATGAAACAAGACTGCCTTTACACTTGGTGGTAAGATCATAACATGGCAATCAAATGTCTCCCTCTGGCCCGGGAATTCCACTGTGTGGCACAGGGTTGTGTGGTCTCAAATCACACCTAATCCACCTAGACATGTTAACATCTGAAACAGGGTGATGGTGTCACTTATTTATATTATCTTACTGCCTGTGAAGTTGGACTTTTAATTCTGAACCCTAATGAGGGGGAGAAAACCAAGTTGACTCTCATGGTTGAGCTCCCAGGGATGTCCAAGGAATCTGTGCATTTCAAGAGACAAAGTTCATCAGCCTCTCTCCTGGGGGATTTGGCCACAACACCCAGACGGTTTGGCAGCATGATGAGTGATGGCTGGGGAGTACGAAGCAGGTGGGCAGGAACCAGGAGTCTGGTGACCAGGTCAGACCCCCATTGTCCATTATCTTTCATGGACCCATCCTCAGCTAAACTTCCCAAAGGCCTGCTTCTGCCTCATCACACAGGGTGTGATCAAACTTAGGCCTCTCACAGCTGAAAACCACTGCTTTAAATCTCCTTACAATTTACTATGACAAAGTTATTGTAAGCTGCAAATACTCTATTCATGCTACAGATGGAAAGCCAATGCCTTTACCATAAATAGAAAAACAACCCTGAGACACAAGCAAAACAAAAATGAAACAGGGATAACACAACTATGGCATTCAATTCTATTTGTATGCTGTCACCAGCATAAAGAGCCCTGGATTTGGATTGTCTTGGTTGTAAAAGGAGAGACCAAGTAAGTGGGTGTTGAAGTCAGATTAGCCCAAAAGTAAATGGCAGAAAGTACCATGATGTCCATGAAGGGTTGCTGGGGTTACCTTGATTATAGCCCGAGCAGAGACAGGGCAAGGAAGGAGATGTGAGCAGAGTTTGGGGCCTCCAACCTGGGAGGTGATTCATGCAGCCCAGGAAAGGCTCCTCAAAGCCAGGGTCAACCTCCCTTGCAAGCAGGTCCCTCATGGATGCAGGGCCAGGCACCTTAGATTTGAGACCAGCTGTGCTGCTGACCAGCTGTGTGACCCTGGGCGGGTTTCCTTCCACACAATGGGAGTGTAATGGCTGTGTCAAAGACTGTCTGAGGATAGGAGGAAGTAACCTGTTGAGCAACTGTGTACTGTCATCACCTCCCAAGGACATCTTTCCTTCCAGAGCTGGCACCTTGGAAGGTCCCTGGCCACTAAAGACAGTAATGAGGATAATGGCAGTAAATCATCATTTGTGGCTGTTGAGGGAGGGCCAGGGGGTAGGGCTCCTATGTCCTTGATAAGGATGAGGGTCTGGTGACTCTTGGGGACAGCTGAGTGAGTCCTGTTGGTCTCCTGGGTCCCCAGGGGGCAGGTCCATCTTCAGTGGCATTGGGCCTAGGCTGGGATGCTGGGGCAGCCACTGGAGCAACAGCAGTACAAACAGCCACTGAGGCAGTGGATCCATTAGAGGTGGCAGGTGTAGGATCATCGGTCCATCAAGTACAGTCACCAAGCCTGGCTGACCACTGCCCCCCACAGACGATGCCCTGTCCCTTGCCTCACACTTTGGTAGGGCAGCGGCTGGCACCTGGCGCCTCACGGAGCATCCCTCTAAGACCTCTGTGTCCTGGCCATTGAATGGGCACTTGAGACACCCAGGGCCATTGGAACAAGGAGGAAGAATCAGGCCCCATGATGTTTTGGGACAGTTTAGCACAGGAAAATGCACAGAATGTATGCACAACAGGGGAACTGTTGGCGTGGGAGCCAATATTTTATGACCTCCAGCCCTAATCTGAGCACTCTCACCTGTGCAATCTGAAGGAAACAGGAGACTTGCAGGAAAGATAGTGCTTGGATTTAACTTAAAGGAACAAAATGTTGAATGTTCACACTTCTGATATCCCTCTAAATCAACCCTCTCAATGCACCCATCTTCACTGCTATCATATGGGATAACTGAGGCAGGCAGAGATTTACTGACTCAGTGCCACCCAGTTGAGTCTGAGTTCACTGCTGATCACATCTGAACAAACTGCTTTTTCTGAAGTTTACCCCATTTGATCATGCTGCTGCTGATTTTGTGCAGCTCTGGGACAAACCGCACCTGGTTAAGGATAAAGCAAATCCGAGGTGACTCAGTCCTGCTGTCATTTCCCATCAATTCCCCAGTCTCCTCCTCTGCCCCTTCACAGTCTCCCGCACGGCTGACACCATATGGTGGCCTTAATGGAGTTCACTGAATATTTCAGGTTCTCCTCTGGGCCCCTTGAAGGTGGAGGCAGCTATGGGATTTGCTTTGTGCGTGGAAGTGAAGGGTGTCACCTCGAGGCAAAAGGGTGGGAGCCATTGAGACTGGCCATACTTTCCTTCATCTCTTAGAGCTGCTGATGGGTCCCATATAGAGGCTTCTCTTTTATTCTGGTGGCAGATGTGAGGATGTGAAGCACAGGGCCCAGGGGAGCCATGAAGGATGGGTAGCATGAGCAGGAGAAGAGCCTTCAGTGTTGTAAATTTCCATTGTTTGGGGCTGTTTATTACCTACAGTGATACCTGGTCCATCCTAGCAGGCACACACCATCTATTCCTTGCTCTGTGAAGCAGACTAGCCTACTGTCAGAATATGAACTATTTGTGAGGCACATAATAGGCTTCAGTTCCAGCTCTGCCTCTTATTGACCGCAACCTCAGGCATTTAACTTTCAGTCTCTGAGCCTCAGTTTCAACTCTGTAAAATGGGCTGGCTATATTACCTCAGGTTGTGGAGAGAATTAAATGAAATAAAAAGGCAGGTAGAGCATTGAGCCCAGGGCCTGGCACACACAGTGAGTACTCAACATTAGCCATGTAGCTTCAGAATGCAAATTGATTGTCAATACCCAGACAATGCAGCAAAGTATTACAAAAAGAGAAATGTAAACTTATTTGTATATGTATTCCTTCAATCTTTATTTTTCAACACATAGGATAAAACTATGAAGAAGGCACGGTGGCTCATGCCTGTCCCAGCACTTTGGGAGGCCATGGTGGGTGGATCACCAGGTCAGGAGTTCGAGATCAGTCTGGCCAATATGGTGAAATCCTGTCTTTACTAAAAAATACAAAAGTTAGCCAGGCATGGTGGTGCACACCTGTAGTCCCAGCTACTCAGGAGGCTGAGGCAGGAGAATCGCTTGAACCCAGGGAGGTGAAGGTTGCAGTGAGCTGAGATCACAACACTGCACTTCAGCCTGAGCAACAGAGTGAGACTCTGTCTCAAAAAATAATAAACCATGTATATTCTTTTGTAGCCAATGGTTTTCTCTTAAATGGTATATCATTAAAATATTTTTAGCTCAAAAACAAAAGATCATTTTTGAGATTATCGTTTTAATAAGACAATGCTCAATTTAATGAGTAATTTAAGTATTACTATTGGACTTTTTGTAGATTGCAAAGAGCATTCAAAACAAATGGAGAATTAAATATGTATTAAATATTGTAAATATGATTTCATTAAGTCTTTTATTCAGAAATATAGAACATATATATGTAATATAGAATTTATTTATTATGAGTCATGTTAAAAAATTGAAAGATTGCCTGAGGTCAGGAGTTCAAGACTAGCTTGGCTAACATGGCGAAACCTCAACTTTACTAAAAATACAAACATTAGCTGGGCGTGGTGGCACATGCCTATAGTTCCAGCTACTCGGGAGGCTGAGACAGGAGAATTGCTTGGACCCAGGAAGCGGAGGTTGCAGTGAGCCGAGATCTCACCATTGCACTGAAGCCTGGGCGAGAAAGCATGACTCTGCCTCAAATAAATAAACAAACAAACAAATAAATAACATTTTTAAGTACCAATGGGCACTTGTCTGGTTGTTTTTTTTTCTTTAGGTTAACATGCCAGCAGTGATTCTTTTTGAGTTTATGACACAAGATAGTGGTTTTTATCCAAATAAGTCAACTACTCTACCCCATCCCTAAGCCACTTCCATGGAAGGAAAAAGGAGGAAAAAGCCAGTACTGTGACTGCCTATGCTTCCCCCAGCATGGCCCCCTGTGAGACCTGTGGCAGCTGAGACCCAGGAACTGTTCAAGGGCGCCAGGCCCCATCTGTCTGCACTCATTCACCTTCCTCAGGTACTTGCATGGGGGATGGCACGGACTTTATGTGCTGCTGCTGCTCCCTGTGAGCTGACCCTGGTCATGGGACAGGAACTGTGGGGTCAGGACAATAGAGGGCTTCACCACCTGTATAATGGGAACAGAAGCTCATGATGAATGTCAACCTATTAGACAATTTTAAAAAAACAATTCTTGAATGAGTGGAAAAACAAGGTGATGCTTGAGTCTATAGTGGTCAATAGCATGGGGGCCTCAGAAAAGGTCAGAACCAAGTTCAAATTCCTGTACTTTGAATTTCTACTTCATGCCATGCAAAATTACTTTACCCCTCTTCACCTCAGTTTCCTTCTGCGTGAAATGGGAAGAATACATTTCATTCCTCATTCAGTTTCTGTCGAGAATTCCTGAGATAATACCTCTAAAACATCCAATTCATTTAAATGTATCATCATTTTTGTCATAACTAGTGAGATCAATTTCACTATTATTGCATATACAGT